ACTATAACAGAGCAAAATCCCCACTGTCATAGAGCATAGCATGTAAAGTGTCTTATGTCATCACAAAGACTTTTACCTTGAATGAGATAAGTAATAATTGGAAAGTTTGCAAGAGAGGGATATGACTGGCATGGCTTGATTTGTGTTTTGAAAAGAATATTCTGACATGTGAAAAACAAATACAGTAAGGGTAGCAGACAGGAAACCAGCTCTAGTCCAGACACACGGGATGGTGGATTAGACAGAAAGGTAGCAGTGGACATGAGGTAGCATGGTTGAACCCTGGATAAATAGAAGGTAGACTCAGTTGGCTAGACTGACAAAGTGGACAAGAAGTACATGAGAAAAAGAGGGGTCACAGATGACACAAAATGAGCAGGAAACATGAAGTTAGCATCTACCAAAATGAAGACAACTGTAGAAGAGCATTGGAAACACTGGAAGTTCAGTGTTTGATGTGATGGATTAGCACGCTGTTCAACTCAAATGATATGCACAGTAAAAGTTTTCTACCTTATCCATTCACTAACCTAATCTTGGTTAATCATCTACCACATAATACAAACTGGAAACTATAGAGAGCAAAAATAGGCATGGGCTCTGCCCACATTTTGAGCTTAGGATCAGCCTGGAAGTCTGCCATTAAGTAAGGAATAATGCAAATAAATGAGCAAAAGTCACAGACGAAAAAGGGATATGAAAATAAATAAAGCACATAACACAGATAATGTGGCTTGTACCTACCCTAGGAAATCAAGAGAGACTTTTCTGAAGAAGTGAAGGCTGAGATGAGATTTTAAGTTCTGAATGAAAACGGGTCTGGATGAAAGACAAACAACCTTGATTAAGGTCAGCGTCCAGCACACGGTGAAACTTCAGGAATTCAGGAGCTTAGAAGCTTCTAGCAAAGAGAATGGAAACAAAAGAGGAAACAAGCAGCACTAAATGGGAATGTGAGCTCATTGAATAAGAAATATGAGAAAGAAGCTTCTTCAAAGTGAAATTTCAGATCTTCTCCACTTCCACTTTGCTTAAAGGAAATGTTCACCTTTAACACCGTACAGCGAAAGAGCTAATTAGACTATTCACTCACAACTAAATGCAGAGTGTTTGTGTGAGAGAAATTATAATGCCACTATGTGTTGTTTTGCACACCATACTTACTGGCACTTTGTCTAAATTTCCTATCCCTGTCACTTTCGAATACAAAAGATCGTATTTGCATTTTATTTGACATTCTGTAAATACAGGACAACTCTTCACAAGAGCTTATTTCTTAAAAATTGCCAAAGTCAGCTTGTTTAGTGATTACTATTTTATTGCAGCCACACTAATTGTCATTTGTTGTCTTTGTGAACTGAATTCTGACAAAAATGGGAGGGGACTGATGGGGGACACCTATCTTCTCTACATGTGAGAAAAGTATCCAGCGCTGAGAAAAGTAAAAGACCTTAAGTAACTCCAGTTTGCCTCAGAAATTCTGTCAGACTTTCTGTCCTCACTGGTGTCCAGTAAAACAAAAAGAGATTAAAAAGGTATTGAATTCAGTAGAAGAATTTACATTTCTCTCACGATTTATTTGTCACTACACTGGTTCCAAGTCACTTCAGTGCATCAGAAAGATAAAATTTATTCTGTAGTCATTGATTATCACCATGACTCTCAAACATAAAGATCCTAATGATTTCCCAACCATAGTTTGTGCACATCAGTGGTGCGTTGAGTGTTGGCTAAAGAAAAAATGGACTCCAGGATGCCATCCTGAGGCTGTTTGCCCACATCTGTCCCTTGTTCTTCATCCATTCTGCTTTGTAGCATGGAGAGATTAACCACTGCCTGATGCCAAGGAGGGATCACAGCCTGCCCTGGCCTGGCCTTTATTACGGTGTGATCACTCTTAGGGGTGATTCTCAACTGCTTCCTCCATTTACTCATTTTTTTTTTTTTAATACCAAGGAGGATTGAACTCAGGACCTTGCGCTTGTGAGATGGAACCACTGAGCTAAAGCCCCAGCCCTCCTTCATTTACTTGTGAATCGAGTTTAAATAATAAGGAATACTGAAATGAACACAAACAACAAACAGTGTAAGCTTTGAGTTTATGCCGTTGTGCTACACACTTTTTGGGTTATTTTTGAGACAGAAAACTTTTACAAAAGTCACAGGCCAGCTGCTGTTTGCCTTAACCGCCGGATGCCAAGGATAAAAGGGCTCAAGGCTGAAATCTCCAAGTAACAGGAAAATTTTGGACAATGGATACTACTAAGTCTCTTAAAAAGAAATACCCTGAAGATTAATTTAGCTCAGGTTTGAAATTTAATCTGACGTTTTTCTTCTTTTACTTTGAAAATATGTGACAAAAGTTTATTACCATAATGATCAATTCATTATTTCTCTATCATTCCAATTTTTTTATTTTCAAAGTATAAATCTGTAACATTTACACAGATTTGAAAATGTCTTCTGACCTTATCACCAAATTTGAAATTAAAGCTTTGATATAACTAAAAAAGATCTATTTCTTTAACTAATGAAGAATTTTTTGTTATATTTCTTTAAGAAAATACAAACAACTAGAATCACTTAGAAGACCATAGTTAAAGCATTTTTACATACTGTGCAGTCATTACTAAAGACCATTTTGTACATGTTTAAACTTTTCTTTCTTGCTTTTTTTTTTTTTTTGTGGTACCGGAGATCGAACTCGGGACCTTGCACGTTCGAGGCAGGCGGTGGCGCCACTGAGCCACATCCCGGCCCTGTCAATTTTTATCAGTTACTTATCTAGTCTATTGATACAACTGGTAAAGTCATTTTTACATGTGCTGAGAATTCTCAAAATTGCAGATAAGCTACTTAAAAGATCAGAGAACAATGAAGTGAATAGAACAGAAGACCTTCACAAAGACACATTCCAGGGAGCTGAGCTCTCAGATGAGTTGATGACATCCTCCAAAGAGTTGTATACTTGTGTTAGATTTGAATCAAGACAGCAGCTAGAATTCCTGTTCTTGAACATCCAGAGGGCCTCTGGGACACTTTATCAGATTTTCTGTGGTGAGGAACTCGCGACTGTTCATTCCCCAAGTATTAGTGGATCTAAACATGCTTGAGTACTCAGGTCAATACTTAATTTTATACAATTAATTTCAAAAGTGAAATCAAGGATCCAGAAATTGATACCAGAGTAAAGAGATCATTTTGGGTTGGCTCCACAGAGGAATGTCTCATACCTTTAGTGATGAATTATAAGCTAAATTTGATAAAATTGGGGAATAAAACTTCCTTTAATCTACCCAGTAGTTTTATAATAGTATGAGGTAAGCATGAGAGGAAAGATCATTCTAGTGCAGCAAAGGAAATACAGTGACATCTCATTTCATGAATGCTTTGTTTGCAAACAAATTGGTTCACAAACAGAAGGATCTGGCAAAATTTGTTTTTGTTTGCAAACTCTGCATCAGGTCACAAACACAACTGGCCGCTATCTTCCCAACACAGACACAAACGTGACTATCTTTTCCAAAGTCACAGAACAAATTAAGTTTGTGAACCGAGGCACAACTGTACTGTATTCTAAAAGTTAGATACTGAATCCTTATGTCTTATGGTATTTGTTTCCTGGATATTTATATTTTCCTCTTAAGCCATTAAATTGCTATATCTTTCCTTCAACTCCCCTCATGGCTGAACAAATACATGAATTTAATTATTGTAAGAGTTCAGGTTTATCTTGAGTTACAGTGTCTGTACTGATATCCTAATTGGAAAGCTGAGCTTGTTGTTGGAACATACACCATACATGTCATCCAGATGTGGGGGGAATACCAAAACCATCTGTCAAAATAAGAGGTTTTTCTTTCCCTTCCCTGCACTGTACTTCTTATGTACCTTTCATGAACCCCATCTAACACCCTACTGAATGTTCTTTATCTGCATCCTTCATTTCCCAGTTACAAAACAAGTTGTCATGGAGTAAGAACTGTATCTTGGCCAACTTTGTCCAAAGTCAGGTTTTGATGGGCTCAATGCTAGCTTGGGCAGTTAGTTAGGGTGTCACGTAGGACAAGCTCCCCAGATCTCATCTCTGAATTTGCTTTCTGCTTAGCAATAGAGGAGATAAGAATAGCTAGCTCACAGAGTAGCTGTAGAGATTAATAAAGATAATGTAAGAAAAAATTACAAACAGATGTACCGATGAGAGTTGTTAATATTAGCAATGAGCATTGATGGACAGCTCATGGATCTGAGCTAAAAGGGGATAAACAATCTCGAAGCAGGTGTGGAGACAAGGAGAAAACTCCAGAAAGGGACTGGCAATTTTGTAAGGAATGTCTGCACTAACTGCTGCTTCTGCCCTTTAATTTGACCAACACTTCACATCTAAAACACGATAAGAGTTTTTGTTGGGAGCAAAACCTATTCCTGCTGCTACAGCTGGAATGGAAAGAAGTCAATTTCCATTACATCTATTATTGGCACAGAAGAGCTCAATCTGTGACTCCTTCTTACTCATTTTGGCAAAATGGTGCAAGAGTTCAACATGAGCTACCAAACCATTACAGGTATTTCATAATTTCCACAGTCTCTTTTAGCCCAGTTGGTTCTTTACTGGTAAATTTATCCTGCTTTGCATTCCTTGTCAAAGAGATTCCCAATTGTCCTGTATTTCCGTGAAGTCTCCCTGGGCTGCTCCAACCTCTTCACGGAGCTTCTCAGGGCCTGAAAGAGGCTGAGCTGCATAACAATGAAGATCAAGAAATGGAAAGCATGATTTTTGAAAGGCATAGTATACTTCAAAGCTTTATCTTTTGTACATGCTCTGTACAAGATTGTATGGGGTTATATAATTGCTGCTGATCAGATAATTATGGGATTTGTTTTTTAAACCTTTGTTAGTAATTGGATTAAGAACACCTATTTTCCATGTCCTAACCATCTAGACAGCAAATCAGCCAGAAGGTATTTGGTGGTTTTTGTTTTGTTTTATTGCATTATTCTGCACTCGGGCATTCTCCCTCTCTGCTTCTCTGCCTCTGCTTAAAGGAGAGAAGCACATTCATCAGTGGCAGATGCCAGCCCCAGTGACGAACCCGAAGAGCCGGTGTCTCACTCAGATGGAGAGCACTTCCTCCTTGCGTGGTGCTCTCCAGAGCTCTCCAGTTTCAGGGAAACTTCTCCGGTAATGAACTCTCGAAATGACCCCTGCCAGTACAGTTTTTATCTTGTTCTATGTAAGAAACACAATAAAGGGGCATTTCCTTTTTCTGTCTTTGAATATTGTCTTTAACATTTGGACATCTTGAAGTGTTTGAGGTATCCGGTGTAAGGAAAAGCTGCTTACGGTGCTTGGTCTTGATTGTGGACTAACTGATTTGAGAAACACCTAGGAAGTTAACAGAGCACACTTGTGGGTGTGTCTGTGAGGGCGTTTCCAGAAGTGATTAGCATGGGGGCAGCGAAGAGATGGGGAAACCTAACACAAGTAAAGGAAAGAGGAAGTCCACTAGCATGAGTCCTCTCTCCCTCTCTGTCCCTCTCTCTCTCTCTCCCTCTCTCTCCCTCTCTCTCTCTCCCTCTCTCTCTCTTCCTCTTCCTCTCTCTCTGCAGGCCGCTCTGAGGTAGGCAGCTCAGCTCTGCCCTGCCACACCCTCTCCCCCAGGATGTGCTGCCATCTAACCATGGACTGAAGCTGGTAACTGGTACAGGCAGAATACTGGGAGCTAGGAATTCACTCCCCTCCACCCACCTGAGCTCAGATGTCACCCTAGGAGCATTCTATACAACCCCAGGCCAAAGTACATGCTACCCTGTTTTCCTCTCTCATTTTGGAGCCCAAAAGCCTGATTTGTCTGCATAGGGTGCAATGCTCCTTTTCTCTCATGCCAGCACCATTTCCCTGCTCGTGACTTTCCATAAACGTGGATACTTTTCCCCCACCATCCAGTGTAGGCTTTGCAGCTCTTCCTGTACTCGAGAGCTTGGAATCTATCTGTGGGATACACCACACTGTGATGAAACTTCTAAACTATGAGCCAGAAAAAATCTTCCCTCCTTTACCCATTTGTCTCAGGCATTTTGTCTCAGCAATGGAAAACTGATGAACACATTTCGAGGAAAGACAAAAAGACCTGACCTTGGGCCTTGCGTTGAACTTCCTGACAGTAGTCAGCCCCATTCCAATTTGTTCTCTGCTCTTCTACTGAATGGAGGGGCTGGGGGGGTCTCTACCGCCCTGTTGCAACCTTCTTGAAAACTTGAAATATCCATCCATACTTATTGTTTGCCAGCCCCTGCACAGTGACTTGCCCAGAGTGGCTGAGATTCATTAACGGATATTCTGAAGCCAAACCACACGCTTAACAGGCGCATGGAGTCTGTGTTTGCTCAGCAGCCGCTGACTCTTCCCTTGGGCCCACAGATACCAAGGAGGAACTACTATGAAGCTCTGGGCTCCCTCCTTCCCTTCTGCATCCATCTCCTTTGCTCTGAGTTGTTCTGCCCTACAGTCACTTGAGAGTCCAGGGACAATGTGTCTGATAAAGTTGCATCAGGTGACAACTTGAAACTAATCTTCAGCCAGAAACGTTTTCCTGTCCCTCATCAAAGCCCGCTTGACTATTCCTGAGGCGATGTATCTACTGAACCACGGTTGGAAATGAACCACTTGACAGTTGCTGGTCCCCTTCGCGTATAGTCTAAGAATCATCTTGGTTCCCCCAAAGACGATACTGAAGGCCCTGTGTCTGCCCCATCTTTCCCACAAAGCTACATGGACTAAATGCCTCCCCTGTCTTCCACTATTGCTTGGTTTCTGGGGTGAGTGGCCAGAATTTGTTTGTGGTGACTCCCCAAAACTGGGTCCCCTGTGGCCTAGGACTCCGCTAACAAAAGGATGAGGCACACTTCCCCTTTCTCCAGTATTTCAAAGACCTGGAAGCTTTTTCACATGTTCCAGATTCATCAGTACTGAAATCAAATTAGGATCTGCACCTTGCCCGAGCCTATGGGAAATAAATGTCAGTGAAATCTTTTAACTGTGTGTTCATTTGACATATGAAATAGCAATGTCAATTTTGGAGGCAAAAACTGAAACATCTACTAACCAAGCTCTGAGTTGCTGAATCGGGCTGAACACAACGGATACCTCTTTGAACAGCCAGCTTCCCCTTAGTGGGTCCTCATCAGGGACTATTACTTCTATTACTTCCCTAGCATTCCAAAGAGCAAAGCAGAGCCCCATTAGTGCAGTGGCGAATTTCCTTTTGGACAGTTTCTCTAGCCTCACCCTTTCCAACCCCACCAGGCAGACACCTGCTGTGGCAGGAAGCCGACTGCCAGGACAGTGTGGGTGATGGGCTTTACCCAGCTCCAAAACAGCACAGGGGAAGGGCTCATGCCGCAGGACATCAGCCATCTGGCCTTGGGATGAGCGTGCCAGGAAGATTCGGACGGGAAGTCAAGACAGGAGAGAAGGAAGGGCCTGGTGAGGCTCTGGGGCACAGGCTGCGGGCCCAGGGAGAAGGGGTCCTGATGTGACTCAGGGGCTGGGCTTGGCAGGCGCCAGTGGGCTGGGGTGCAAGGACGGCTCTCAGCCAGCTCTAGGGCTCAGCCCTTTATTAAGTATGTCAGGATGCAGACTCTGGAAAGGAGCCCGAGCGCTGGGGTTTGAGTTTAAAATTGGCTCCCCTTGCCACCTGAGAACTGGAGGGACTCAAGTAAGAGTCTGAATGCAATGTTTGTATTTTACAATTAATCGAAATGAATGCTTATGAGAGAAAAGGTGGGAGATGCAGAGAATCAGGAAGGAGAAAACAGTAGATTCTCTGCCCGATTCTCTGTCATTGCATCTGGCAAACAGGGCCACTGCCAAAGTGAGGGCACAGGTCCTTCCCCTGCGCCCCAGTGTGCATGACGCAACCCTAGCGATGCTGTTTGTACAGCCTTAATGTTATTGTTTTAACCTACGGCACCATGTAAGCATGTTCTCCACTATTTTATATTGTGGTTACCATTATTATAATTATGCACACATATCACACAATCTGTGTAATTCCTAACACGTCCATTTACCTATAGTTATGTGTTTCCAGCACTAAGCTTTAATAAAAATGCTGCCATGAAGTCTTTTGGTGTTTGAGGTTATTTTCCAGGATAGAGTCATACAAGTAGAGTGATGAAATTAATAAATGTGTGTATTTTACGTTGTCTGGACACACTAAATGAATATTTAAACTCTGAAAAACCTCTCCATGCCAGGGGATGAAATACGTCATTAACATTCGAAATACATCACTCTCCTCTCTTGTTTCACTTCTGGGGTAGCATGGAATAGAACTGTTTAAGTTTATAAAGCTTTTGGTCTCTTTCCTCCAGAAATATGAAATAGGACTAGAGAATATTGAGTATACACCTAAACTGCTAGGTTTCTGTAATGGAAAAAAATGGCATTTCTTCCCCCAGCACTACAAAATTATTCAACAAGACTACAGCTGGTGACTATGGGAGTGACAGACTCATGTGCCACGCCACGAGAAAGCATGTCCAAGACGTGCAGCCACCAGGTGAACAGAAGTACAGTGTACTTGTAGGAGCCTAGAGGCAAACATCACATAGACAACAGAGGGGCCGAATTGACAAACCCTACTGATCAGTTCTAACTCCCAAAACTTTAACTGCTCCAAATTTCATTGATTTCCCAGTATAGCATCAACTGCACAAGTCCAATCCCAGCAAGCAACATTTTCAAAACTTTGTAGATTCTTTCCACCTTTTACTAAATCTCAATTACTTCGCCTACTAGTAAGTAGTTTTACCAAATCCTGCAATGTCAAGGGGCTGTAATGATTTGGCCTATATTTTATCAGTGTGCTGAAACATGAAAATTTCCTTTTTCTATCACCCATTTCTGTACATTTTTTATTCAGGAGGTCTTGCTCCTCTGAAGAGTGTCCAAGCTAAGGAGTTTTCATTGAAATCATACTGACTCTAATTTTGTATAAAGGGAGATTGTGACTTGGCTAAAAAATTATTACTTATACCAGCTATTTCTTGTTCTGCACTCCATTTTTGTCTATTAATTATTTATGGAAAAAAAAATGTGTCATTTATTTATTTATTTATTTATTTTTTAATTTTTATTTTTTTGGTTCCGGGGATTGAACTCTGGTCCTTGCGCTTGCAAGGCAGGCCACCGAACCGCTGAGCTAAATCCCCGGCCCAAAACATATGTATTTTAATGTGAAACTTACTAATCTCAAAAAGACTACTGTGAGTAACTCATGTAATTTACAAAGCTGCACTTGAAAGGAAATAATTCCAAATTATTACCACTGATATTATACATGGACAAGGTTAATTTTAAATATATTAAACCTAATTTGAATATAGCTCTAAATTGTTAAATTCAAATCTCAATGAGACCAGAGTTACATTTATATGTGAGCAACTAAAATTTGCTTTACATAAAGTAATCATTGTAATCAATAAATACATTAATAAGGAGATATTTTCAGCCATCATAAACATTGTACAATAGGCAAATTCTTTCTTTAACAATGAAATAATTAAAATTATTTCTCTGCATTTCTATGAAGAATTTCATCAAAGAAAGAGAATATGCTTGTGAAGTCTCTTATTAACCCAGTTCCAGCAAGAACTTTCAACAAAATGGAAGGTAATCAGCCTTTGTGTATAGTGTGAAGATGATGGGAACCGAAACCCAGCAATCACGCAGATATTTTGCTCTCTGTATCTAGCTCTGAATAATCAGTGATTTTCAAAGGCAGAAAAGTGGCGATTGTGAATTGCAACACTAGCAAAGCATTGTGATGTTTACGTTTCACCCAGATATGGTCTTTTTTATGGTATTTATAAGGAACAAGATTTCAGTGGGAGAGTAAAGAATAAGGGTCGCTTTTAATATTTCAGATGAGTTGAGTGCTTGGTTCAGAACTGTAAAAATCATTGCTTGCATCATTTTGCTGAATTATTTTTCTAATGCTACCTTAAGAAAACAATTGTGTTCAAACATTGACTTAACTATTTTTTTTTTCCCAACTGCGGTTGACAATATGTTGACTGCCAGCCTCAGATTCATATGAACATAAGATTTTCAGCTTTCTTCAGTACAAGGTGCTATCGTTTAGCTCCATTTCACTGTTTCGGGAAGACATTATGCTTGTGATGTTCACATTCATTTATAACCCAATTTCCATTACC